CGCTGCCCTGCCCTGCCCTGCCCTGTGTGGCGTGGAGGCACTGCCAACCTTTCTGGATGGGCGCCAGCATCCTCCCCTGCGACCGGGAGGGTGCTTAATATTACACTCTGCCTTAAGGTGCACCCCCGTGGGAATGGTTTTGGAGATGAAAATATAACTGATAGATGATTAAGCAGCTCGAAATATTTTTCAGAGTGGTTGAATAGCACCAAATGCTTCCTGATGTTATTTTCAAAACTAGCCATGGGGGAAAATCAGCCTGGAAATAAGTGCAAAGTTTCAGATTCCCAGAGGGTTGAGGTCCCAGCGTGACTTAAAGGGATGAACAACATAATTTATTTTAAGCTGGTGCTTGATCATTTTGTAAAGTAGATGATAGGATCACAAGTGCGCAGTAGCAGGCCCTGGACTTCATGACCCAGGAAGTTGCTTCTAGCCTATGTACATTTCTTATCACAGTCCTCCTCAGACCTGGGGCTGTACTATTTTCATGTCGTACTTCATGCTGGTTTTTTATTTTCTACCTTAGGAGCTCTTGTCTTTCGTGTTTGATTCCCAGCAAAGGATGGAGAACATCCTGGCTGGTCTGTGTGGGACCAGCCCAGAAGATCCACTCCCTGTGTGGGTTCATGGCAGCGTTGGCCATTGCTTTAATCAGCTGGCATTAAACGTGATTCCTCATGTGATCCTTGCAGCAGTCAGTGCCTGCTTCCTTGGCACTCCAAGGTATGACAACTAACCTGTCTAGCTCTTGATTATTATGCAGGACCGGAGGTGAGGTGGAATGGCTGGAAATTAGATCTCCCTATAATGTGCCGAGTCTGTAATTAGAGAGGGGCACAGTATCATATTGCTATTATATTTGTCAACATCTATCCTAATTCAGGGTAGGGTGTACAGCTCTGGTACCTTCATTGCAGAAAGGAATCTAGAAAGAGTAAGGAGGGTAGTGAGCATAAAATTGCAGAAAATAATTCAAAAGAAGTTCAGTAAATGGGGATTGGGAAAACTGAGAGTCTTCTGGGAGGGGATATAAACCCAAGGTAGCATGGAAGATAAATACATAAGGTAATAAGTGGGCCAGAAAAAAACAAAAATTGGTTTTATGTTTACACTTTTATGTAATTTGTAAGCGTGGTAATATTCAGTGATAGTCAAAGGCCATAGATGATAATGGAATGAATGAGTGATAATGAAATATTTTGTGGGGAGTACATTATGGACTTTATATATACAGCATCACTGAAACCAACAGTGATAATATTTCTGGACAAAATATCACAAAGACAAGAGAAATGAAGGATCAAAGGTGTGACACAGAGAATTTGATTCACCAAAATTTGTGTTAAATAGGTTAAATAGGCATTTTTTTCTTTTCGATCATCAAGAATTGGAGTCAAGATTCAACCACAAAATGTCACAGCTTGCAAACAAATTTCCGTAGAGAAATGCTCTTCTTTGGTCACATCTGAATCTCTGGTATTGGTCAGATACTGGGTTATACTGACCTGATGTAGCATAGCAATGCCTACACTCTGAAGAAGTTACAAATCTAGGGAGATGAATCCAGAAGGTTAAATAAGAGTGAGCTGATAAAGGAGGGAAGAAGGGAGGAAAAAATGAGAGTACTGTCTGAGAGGTGATGGAATTTTGACTACATTTTTTTCTCTGCTCTTTCTAGATCTGGCTCCAGGGTGCCTTGCAGGCCAGCTTGGGGATGCAGAATCGCAGCCTCCTTCATACTGGCTGGGCTATCAAGAGCTGGGCCCTGTGTACCTGGAAGTGCTGGCAAATGGCACTGCCACCCTGACGTGGCTCACGCACGGCCTCGCTCTCCTCATGCTCTTCAGGTCTATTCACGGCTCTACCAAGGGCCCCGTGGCCCTGGCTGTCCTTCCTCTCTTACCCCTACCTTCCTTCATCATCACACTGCTGTGGTACTGCCAAAGCGGGACAGCTTGGTCCCTTGCCCGCCCTGCTGCTGCCTCCAGGTTTGCCATTCTCTGTCTGCAGCTGGCCTCTCTGCTTGTCTATGTGATCAGCTACCTCTTCCCCAGTGCTGGCAGGCAAGAATTCCTCTCCATCAATCGCTCCTGGCAACAAGACCAGCTCATCTCAGAGCCAGACATCCCCGTGCCTGCTCAGCAGAGAGTGGCAGAAGATGGTGAGAGCTGGCTCTCACACTTCTTTTACGTTTGGATGAACCCTCTTATGGAACGTGGCTATCAGTGGAAGCTGAACCAGCCGCAGGATGTCTATGTGCTTCCTCGCCAGCTCCAGGCTGCCAGGATCTGTGATCGGTTCTACTCCTGTTGGCAGAAGAAGGCAGCTCTGCAGCAAGTAGAGGAAGAAACAGTGTCTCTTACTAGCCCGATGGTTGCTGGAGGCGACGGGGGCAGCGGTGCCCTGGCGAGCTCGCGCAGAACCCAGGGGTCCGCGAGGCTCTTCTCAGTCCTTCACGCCGCGTTTGGGCTTCGCTTCTACTCCCTCGGACTTCTCAAGCTGGCTGGCAGCCTGCTGGATTTCTCTGGTCCTCTTCTTCTGAACATGCTGGTGAACTTCATGGAGTCACGGCAGGAGCCCCTGAGCCATGGGGTGCTCTATGCCCTGGGGCTCTTTGCCGGCTCCTTCCTGGGCGCTCTGCTGCGGAACCAGTTCAGATACCAAGTGGAGAAGGTGATGCTGATGGTGCGGGCCGCCGTCATCTCCGCCATCTACCGCAAGGCCCTGCGCGTTGGCAGCACCGGCCTCGCCCGCTTCACCCTGGGGGAAATCGTCAACTTCATGAGCACCGACACCAGTAGGTTGGTCAACTTCTGCCCCAGCTTCCACGAGGTGTGGAGTCTGCCTTTCCAGTTTGCCATTACCCTCTACCTCCTCTACCAGCAAGTGGGGGTAGCCTTTCTGGGAGGCTTGGCCATGGCGCTGCTGCTTGTGCCCATCAACAAGGTTGTAGCTAACTGCATCATGATGAACAACCGGGAGATGCTGAAACACAAGGACGTACGGGTCAAGGTGAGGGGCAGCTGGTGGCTCTCTGAGTTTATGGCTATTTTTTGTCACTAGGACATTGTCTTTTTGGCCACTTGTCATGATCCAAAGCAGAGTGATTGAATCACAGCTGTTGGGAGAAGTGCTCGAGGGAGCGCATGCACGCGCACACACTCACATGCACACACATGGTTCAAAAGTGTTTCTGGGTGATGCAGTTTCATCACCCACAAGATGGTGAACCTGTAATGCTTGTTTTGTCCCCTGGGCTAATTCAGGTTCCCTTGCAGTTTTCTTTTCTGTGTGTAGTAGTGAAGGTAGGACTCCTGCTTGCTTCCTTTAGAGATGCTTCCATCCTATCGCTCCAGTAATGCCATCAGCTTTTGGTGGCATTGCAGTCTGAACAGAGGCAGTGATCACAGATATAATGGTTTTATATTGCCCGAAGCTTGGCACCCTCAGTCATCTTTTCCACTGCTTTTTGCATATTTTCAGTGCTGTCTCTCTCCTTGCCACATGTCAAACATTGGATTCCCACCTTGTATCTTTAATGTGAGGGGACATCACTTTCACTCACCATTTCCATCATGCTTTGGGAGCCTGAGACCTACGTCAGCTCCACGTCAGAACTGAGAGAAGTTTTAAAAATACTTATTTTCCCAACAGAAGGTGAATCTCGTCGTATGGGGTATGCTGAACTTTCTCCATCTATTGGAATACTGGTTTGTTGAGTGTACAAGCACATCCCAGCTTGCTCTGCACTTGCCAACCCAAGAGCAGGCACGAGGGGATGTCATGCTGAAGGGACACCCGAGCTGCTGGGTGTCAGCCAGCCAGGCACTGGGTACTGACTGGCTGTGTCATGGCAGCACTGGGCCTGACAGCCACGTGTTATTATCTCAAGGTTCTGTCAGGCCAAAGTAAGTCAATGGCATCCAGGCTGGAGCTAGTAATTCCTCACATCCCTTCACCCGTGTTGCAGAGCCTTCAGTTGGGAGGGAGTGTAGTGCGTTGGCTTTTCCTGAGCCCGAGGTGGCTGCGGAAGCAGGTGGAATGAGTAAGAGCAAAGTTCCCAGTAGCTGCCACTTAAGTTTATGTCTTTGTTAGCAATAAACGGTTGCTGGTATCTCTAGCATGGGCCTTAGGAGGAGGTGACTGCAAACCCAGCCCCAGCCCAGATCTTAACCAGCATTTGGTGTGTGAGGCAGGCACAGGTTGCTCTATCTGCTTTTCCTCTTTGCCTGCAGCTAATGACAGAGTTCCTACGTGGCATTCGTGTCATCAAGTTTTACACCTGGGAGAAGCACTTCAGCACCAGGATAAACGCCTGCCGGGCCAAAGAGCTGCAGAAGTTACGAGCCATCAAGTACTTGGATGCTCTGTGTGTATATCTGTGGGCAGCAATGCCTGTTGTTATCTCCATTGTCATCTTCATCACCTACGTTCTGTTGGGTCACCAGCTCACTGCCACAAAGGTGAGTAGGTAGTGGCGAGACCTCCAACCTTGTCTCATGCAGAGGACAATCTACAGCGCGGCTGCAGACCTGAGGAGTCTTCTCTGGGAAATGAACCCAGCCTGTGTCTCCCCACAGCTCTTCAGGCTGTCATTGGCAGAGCTGTTTGAAGGATACAAGATGCAAGGGAGGTACTGCCTCCAACTCATGACTGTTTCCTTACCCATGCAGGTGTTCACAGCATTGGCTCTTGTCGGGTTGCTTATTCTTCCCCTCAATAACTTCCCGTGGGTGTTGAATGGAACATTGGAAGCCAAAGTTTCCCTGGATCGAATCCAGCGTTTCCTTGATCTCATGGACCAGGACCTGGAAGCTTATTATGCCCCAGGTAATGGCAAAGGATGCTGCTACTCTTGGCACTCTGGGCATTCAGAGCAGAGAACCGAGGTGTGAAGCCCAGGGGCAGTTCTGGAGGGCAGCTGCCTGTCACCCCACGATTCAAGACATTCATTGTCAGAGGCAGAGTGAAGATCCAATCTTAGACCTGGTCAACGGTTCATGACTAAGAGTTTGGAAGAGACTGGGAGTGAAAGGGGTAAAGGAGATCCTCCTATTGAGTCATGAGGTTCAGAATGGACCCGGTTGCTCTCCAGACTCCTTCAGAGTATGAGGTTAGATCCACCTCTTGTCCCAGACTTAGTCAGTGCTTTATGTCTAAGAATATAGAGGAGTGAAAGGGGTAAAGACTGCTCTCCTATTCCATCATAAGGCTCAGAATGGGCCCCCTTGCTCTCCAGACTCCTTCAGAGAATGCAGTTAAGTCAACCCCAAGCACCAGACTTGGTCAGTGGTTTATGACTAAGAAGATTTAGGTGTAGGGACTTCAGTGCGGTGCTTTAATGTAACATGATGTAACATGTATAATTCTGAGATGGAAGCAATTTAAAGTGCAACAGCGCTACTGCAGGAAGCTATGAGGTAGCAATGCTTCAGTCAGTCAATAACCAATTGTAACCAGTGCAGCGATTTAGGGAAGATTTAACAAAGCTCGCTAATCAAAAGGCAAATCACACGCAGGCACACAGCTATATACAGATACAGAGGTTAACTTATGATTAAGATGTTTCCTTTTCTGCAGATTAGAGTAAACTTGGGCATCCAGGGATCTTTAGGATTGAGTCCTAGAGACAGTGAATGCTCTCATCTCTCATCAGGGGCTTATTGCAAGCAGATCTTTATGGACAGATGGCCATCCCCTTCATCTGCCTGTTGCAAGCAGATGGTCAGAGTCAGACCTGAGGGGTGTCCCAGCTCAGGCAGAGATGCCAAATCACAGTCACTGTGATCCCAGGGAGCTCCAACAGGCCTCACTTGAGATCAGTATTCATAGCATCACAAGAAGATTGACTTTGTTCAGTATTTTTCTTCCGTGGTTGTTAATCTTGTCAGGCAAACTTGGCCTAAAATTAGGGGCCTGTGGTCTTATTTGTCGACACCTTTCCAAGGTATTCAGGAATTGCAGTTGAAGTTAGGGATTGACTCCTAGTTCCAACTCACTGAACTTGTACACAGGCTATGCAGGTGTTGAATTGTTTAAGCTTGCTGCCCCATTAGGCAAGATCAGAAGGTACCAAATTGTCCCAGCCACCTACATTTTGTAACTAAACAAAAATGCAGTGGCTGGTGCCGACTTCACAAAGTGGCTCAGGAGGAAGGGGGACAAGACTCTTAACATTCCTCTTCACCAACTGTAGGCCATTGCTTGTCCACGTGGAGCCCTGTTGTTAGTGTTCCTTTAGAAGAAGCCGCTCCCTCCTCTAGCCAGAGTTCTTCTGACACTGAAGCCATAAACAACCTTGGCTTTGTCTGGCAGAAAGGCTCAAGTGGGTGCCCCTGTGCCCCTCTCCTGAGCCGTCTCCATTCCTATTCTCTCATTCCTTGCCTTTTGCCAGCTCCCTGTCGTTCTTTTCCCTTAAACAGTAATAAAACCAGGTTATCCTTATAGTGTGTCTCTGACAGTCAGCAGGTCATCATGTATGTCTGGTTGGAGCTGGAGACAGGAGGCTTGGAGGAAGAGAGGTATAAGTTTAAGTACAAGTCAGTAGGCAAGAATCTCTATGTGTGGTTGGGTCAAGGGCATCATGGTGGGGTCCTGTCTGTGGTCTCATCCATTTGGGAACGAAGCTGATAGTATTTGTAATGGCAGGTGCCTTTTGTTTTCTGACCTCCTCATAGTAGCAATGCCGTGTTGCTTTTCTCTTGCAGATAGCCCTTCAGATACTGCCACTGCCGTGGAAATGCAATGTTCAACCTTCTCATGGGTACCATCTGAGGAGGAAAGCACCAGGCAGCAGTTATCCACAGGCACTCTGCAACTGTACATTGAGAACCTGTCAGTGAGAAAGGTGAGCAAGGACACAGGAGGTAACAGAGAAGACTGGCACTAGAGAAGCCAAAAAATGGAGCAGGAGTGGTGTGTTTTCAAGTTTTCCTGGTCTTAGGAACCATGCATCAAAATCTTTCCTTGGTCAAGAAGCACAGGACACACACCACACCTCTCAGAGCGAAAGGGTGCTGGAGGAGATCCAGGCATGGCTTACAGACAAGAGATGAACCAGCTCCCTCTGCTTTCTGCTGCTGCTGCAGGAGAGGACTGGGCAGGGAAAACAGCTGCACTCCAGAGTTAACACTTTTTGCAGGCTTGTGTCCTGCCATCCCAGAAGTCTGGTTTACTGAACAGCTGTGCCCAGCTCTGCTGACAGTCCTAGTTAAGACAGCAATCAGCTTTCTCACAGGCTACATATGGCTCAGGAGATATGGACAAGCCCCCCTGTATTAGTGCATCAGGTTGCTCCTTTTCATTTCCCTTTGCAGGGAATGCTCCTGGGGGTTGTTGGGAAGGTCGGCTCTGGCAAAAGCTCTCTGCTTGCAGCCATCACTGGAGAGCTCATTAAGTAAGTAGCCTAAAGACTTCTCCCTGCCTGGTCCCTTCTTGCTGCGGCAGGCCGGGACTATCCGGTGCCATCCCTGTTTGTAGGACATTTCGATCTGCCAGCAGTTCTTTGTTGCACTCTCCACCCACTTCTGGTGTGCTTGCAGACAAAGTGGACGAGTGTATGTTTGTGACCTGGAGCAAGGGTTCGGTCTGGCCACACAGGAGCCTTGGATACAGTTTACCACCATCCGTGAGAACATCCTTTTTGGGCGGGAATATGATGCCAGGCTGTACAAGGAGGTGGTGGAGGCCTGTGCCCTCTCGGAAGACCTGAACGTGAGTGCCTAAACTGTGAACCTGTGAACCTTGGCCAGCTTCTGCATCCAGCCTGAGCCTTGCTGCGAGCAGTTCATGTTCTTCAGGCTATAGACTGATTTTCCCATGTCCCAGTCACACAGTGTTACTCTGAATACCAATCCCAGAGCATACTGGGCCCCAAAGTTAAGGTGTGAAGTCACTTTGGTCACGTTTTGCATGGTTTCTTCTGCTGCTGAGCCAAAAGGTCTTGATCCTGGGGAAGGGATATGTTCTTGTAGAGCTGATCACTGCCAGGTTTTTCAGGCAGAACCTATCAGCAGCTGATGCTTTTTTGGATCAGAAGGAGCTTCTCTGAGATCTGGAAGGGATGAGTCTGGTCCTCCTGACAGTAAGACACATATTCTAGGTCTGAGGCTTACACCTGTATAATCTGGTAAACTTGGCTCCTCTTCTCCCAGTTTACAACCTGATGTCTGATTTTCTGAAGTACCAAGCTCTAGGAGCCCCTGTTTGCTTTGGCAGGAGCTATGAATACTCTGTAAAAGCAAGGTATTTATTGGAGAAGTAGTAGACTATGCCTGTGCTGCCAAATCAACAAGAAACTGTTTCCAGCTACTGAAACCCTGTAGCTTTTACTGCTAAACTGTTTGGATGGGCCCTGGCATGATTTTGGTGCAGGTACAGCTCTTGCTCTCCCAGAAAGTTCCCAGGTGCAATTTTGACGTTATCTCAGATCAGAAGTTGCTCTCAATGGCTAATTCAGATGTGGTCATCCTGTTATGGAGTGTAAGAGGGTTTAGTTGCATAAATGGCAAGCTTGCCAGTTGTCTGCAGAGCTGGTGTATAGACTGTTGCATTGTTTAATTTTTGGTAAGGTGTCACCCTATGGAATTACTGCCAGAGGCAGGAGAAGGACCTCAGTGTTCTGGTTTTGGGTCCCTGGAGTCTCCTGTCCACTCTAAATTGATTTTTTTTAATATTTCAGATTTTTCCAGCAGGTGACCAGACAGAGGTGGGTGAAAATGGTGTGATGCTCAGTGGGGGACAGAAGGCTCGAATAGCACTTGCCAGAGCTGTTTACCAGGTAAATAGCAAAGGAGTCATGCTGTGGCAGACTGTGCCCGGTGCCAAGTCAGATGGAAAGAAACTGGAAGCACCCAGCTGCACAGTGTGCTGTGGCAGCATGTCTTAAACCACATTGTGCTGGCCTAAAGGTGCTGTTGGTGTGCCACACAGAGGCACTTGCACTTTTTGCCAGCATCTGTGTCCTTGTCTTTTGTTTACCTCTCAGGAGAAAGAGCTTTATCTCCTTGATGATCCCCTGGCTGCTGTTGATGCAGACGTGGCCAACCACCTTATGCAGAAATGCATTCTTGGAGTTCTCAAACACAAGACCAGGATCCTTTGCACTCACAGGACGGAGTTTTTGGAGAAGGCTGATGCCTTGTTGTTGATAGACAACGGCAGGATAGTTAAGACAGGTACACTGGCTGTCTTCTCAGGCATTAATTTGTGCCTGTGCGCCAGCCTTGGAATGGCTTGAACAAAGTTGGATGTAAGGGAATAGTATCAACTAGTGGGGAACCCAATGATAAAGAGCTTGAGGGCAGAGATAGGGTGGAAGGGAATGTGCAGATGCACAGGTAAAACAGGACAGCCCTAGAGGTGGGGAGCTGATAAGGCAGAAGGCTATAGCAGGTTGTGTGGGGAAGGGTGCAGGTGCTGTGAGAGAAAACAGGGAGTGTTCTGAGACAACAAAAGTGGGCCATTCTGTAGCAAGAGGCAGTGAGTAGCTGGCATCTGTTCCCTACAGACTCTGAAGCATTTGCATGTCTCTCTTTGCAGGCACACCAGCTGATATCCTGCCACTCGTGGAAGCTTTCCCCAAGTTCAAGGATATGGACAGGAGGCAGAAGAAGAAAGGTCTGTACCTGGCAGGCTTGAGGGTGGCTGGGGCAGCACAGCTCAGCTGACCACCCAGACAGGACCTGTACCTGATAGCTGCTGGCCTTAGGACAGAGCTCCCACCACCTTGCTCTGCTGTGGCAGTGCCCATCTGTGGGTAGCACGTGCATAGCAGGAGAGGAGGCCCGTGTATCATTTGGGTGTTGGTCTGGAGCAGTATTTGAATCCATTGTTCCACTTGTGGTCCAGCTTTGGATAAAGGTCTGCCAGGATTGGTGCACCTGTCTCTAAAGATGAGAAAGGAGGGAAGAAAAGTCTTTCTCATAGGTTAGACTTCTCTCACAGCAAGGAGCAGCTGCATGGGGAACTCAGGTCACACTGACCTTTGCTTTTGCCTCCATTCCCACAGCCCCTGATGAACAGGGCCGAGAAGAGGCTATAGAGACAGAGGCAGAAGAATCAACCCAAAACAATCACCTCACCCACAAGGAGGAAGATAAGAAGGAAGGGGCAGTGGCTTTTCAGGTGTACAAGGCATATTGGCTGGCAGTGGGCAGCTGCTTGGCATCATCCATTCTGTTCTCTCTGCTCCTGATGCAAGGTGAGGCAGTGGCCCAGCAACATATCTCTTTTTAGACATCCCTCTCCTCTTTATCCCTGGAAGCATCGAGGCCAGAGGAGAAAAGAGGCCAGGCGTTTAACCACTCTCCCTTCAGCATGAAGACCCCTTGTCTTTTCCCCAGACTAAAGTAGCACGACTGGGAGGGAGCACATGCAGGAACGGGATCTGGCCTCTCGCTGCTGCAGTTGCATGTCTGCTCCTCTAGTAGTGCCCTGTCGCTGATGCAGCTCAAGGGTGTTCCTTTGCTCCTGCTCTACTGCTAACAGTGGAGAAAGAAGGCAGAAGACTATACTGGGCAATGATGCAATAACAAAAGTTGTCCAGCAGGTTCCCTTCCAGTTTTTCTGCTTCCTATTTGCCGATTCGAAGGTTGGATCCCTCTTTATGCAGTCCGTCTTTCTCTGTAGCATCCAGAAATGTCTCAGATTGGTGGCTGTCACACTGGATCTCCAGCATATCCCAGACAGCAAATACCTCTGTAATGGTCTCCTCGGTTTCCCTGCCTTCCCCAGAGCTGCTTCTCTTCTCCACTGCTGGACTTGTGTAAGTGAATCTGGTGAGGCAATGCTGAAGGAAGCTGGAAACACTCCTGTTCTGTCTTTAAGTGCATTTCCTGTGAAGATCCTTGTTGAAAGCAGGGATAAACAGGCCACCTCACTGCAGGGGACCTGTTTGGCTGCTTTGACAAAGAAAGAGAATTTAAATCCCTGAACTGATGAGGTGCCCAAAGGGCTTCTGCCTGGGGCTTATGGAAAACCCCTAGCTGCATAGTATTTAGTCCCAGCATGCCAAAGTGGTGCTTTCTCTCACAGGAGTATCAGGTGGAAGTCTTTTGGTTTCTCCTTGTGGTTGCTTCTGGGTTCTCATACCCAGTCTGTGAGTTTAGTGGCATAGAGACCTTGGCAGATCCATAATCTTCCTCCTCCCGTGTTCCAGCTCCCCCGTTCAGACTCTGGACACCACCTCAGTCCCTTCCAATGGCTCACTGGACGTGAATTTCTACGTGATGGTTTATGGGAGCCTCGCAGGGGCCAACTCCCTCTTCACCATTCTCCGGGCCTTCCTCTTCGCTTACGGCGCTATCCACGCGGCCACTGTCGTTCACAGCCGGCTGCTCCAGAGGGCTCTAAAGGTAACGGGCAGGAAGGCCAGGGCAGGCTGGGGCTCCTGCGAGTCCCTCTGTCTTGACATTCTTCTCGTAGCTGGGAGTAGGGTTTGGGAAGTGGATTAGGGTACCTGCTTGTATTAGCTGGTGGTCTTCCCATAGACATATCCAGAAAGAGTTGCACCACAGCCAGGACAACGAGCTGGGTTTCAAAATGTGTCCTGTAAGGCTTATTCCATTCCACAGAGGAGTGTTTTATGGCTGCCACCTGCATCCATTCATTAGGCTTAGGTATGCAGCCAAGATGAGGGCAAATTGAATCACAGTGTCTTTTGCAGGATCATGAGCTCAGATCCAGATGAGATTGGAAGGAGTCATTAAGCAAGATTTAGGGCTGATGCTGGCATGTGCCAGTTAACGTTCTTTAGGATTTGGGCTTCCTTGGGTCCTCAGAGTTAGGATTAGAGGATTGGAAAATAGGATTAGAGGCTAGGGTTACAGGATTGTTTTATTGGCTACTGTTGGGCCAGTATGGGGTCCGAGTGACTGCTGTCTTCATAGCTGTCTGCCACTCCCCATGGAAGGGCTCCTTCATTTTACCATGGGAACAGCATGAGTTGTTTGGCTGCGAGTGGGTGCTCACTTTGGATTCTGGCATTTCATCTCCAGCTGAGGAAAGGAAGGGGGCTGTGGTGGCCATCCTTTTGTGGCCTTATCTGCTCCCCTTGGTGCTGCCCTCCTGGGCACTGTTCTGTGGCTAGGTCTCCCTGCAGCTGACTGGCTCTTTCTGGTTGCCTTGTTGCCAGGCCACAGTCACCTTCTTTGACACCACACCAGCAGGCCGGATCCTGACCCGCTTCTCCTCAGACCTTTACTGTGTGGATGACAGCCTGCCATTTGTCCTCAACATTTTCCTGGCCAACATATATGGGCTCTTGGGCATGCTGGTGATGATCACCTATGGCCTCCCTTGGATTGGTCTGGTCTTACTCCCTCTGGGTGCCCTTTACTTCTCCATCCAGCGCTATTACCGGCGCACATCCCGGGAGCTCAAGCGCCTCTACAGTGTGACCCTGTCTCCCATTTACACTCACTTCTCAGAGACCCTCTCGGGACTGAGCAGCATCAGAGCCATGCGGGCAACGCAGCGGTGAGTGGAAAGAAAGCACCCGAGAGCCAGAGCTTTGGCTTGATAGACCAGGGCCTTCTTGGTCTGGGGCTGGTTATAGGGTGGCAGGAACGCCCCTGGTCTGGAGCAGCAGGAGTGGAGACTGAGTGGGGTGAACCTCTGTTGTGCACCTGCCAGGTTTGAGCTGGAGAACCGGCTGCGCCTGGAGCAGAACCAGCGGTGCCTTTTTGCCAGCAACACGGCCATGCAGTGGCTGGACATCCGCTTGCAGATGATTGGGGTCGCTGTGGTTACTGCTATTGCAGGAATTGCCATCGTCCAGCACCAGAAGCAACTGGGAAATCCAGGTAGGCTGCCACTGATTGTTCTATGCCCACCCCTAGGCTGTGGCTTTGGGGTTTCTCCTCTCCTAGCTCAGAGCTGCACATCTGTTCCTGCTATCTGTTCCTCTACAAGTCAACCACAGTGTAGTGCTTCAGCTTCTGTCCCTCCTCCTCTGCGTCCCCGTCTTTGAGTGGAACCCCAGACTGCAGTGCTGGTTTCTCCCTTGTTCCTTTGTCCAAGATGCCAGATCCTTCCCTGCCAGTAATGTTCTCGCTTATGCTTTTGTCTTCGCAGGACTTGTGGGCCTGGCACTTTCATATGCCCTGTCTGTCACAAACCTGCTCTCAGGCCTTATTTCCAGCTTCACTATGACAGAGACCATGATGGTAAGTGTGGAGCGGACAGAAGAATACACCACAGACATCCCCACAGAGCCCCAGGATAAACTGGTCCAGGTAAGAGCTCAAATCTCTTCTCAGGGACTGGCCTGCCTTCTGACTTTTTGCCCTGCACTTGCCTCCTGGGAAGATCACAGGGTTCCAGTGAATGGATGGAGGGCCCTCATCCACATAAACCGCCTTGATCACTCATCCTTTACCAGTACATCCCTGGGGGCTGTGAATCTGTCAGGAGCTGTTGAAGGCTGGAGTGATGGGAACGGGTGGGAGAGCAGAACGGGTGCTAGGTCCAAGCTGTGAGAGAAGAAGCTAGGAGGGGGCTGGAGTTGGAGCTGGGCTGTTCATTGGGTCTGCTCAGGAGCCAAGCAACCATCCGAAGGGATGGATGGGGAGGTGAGGCTGAAGACAACAGCAGGTCACGGTCATACCCTGTCTCACCCAGGTATTCCTCTTAGGTTGCTCCTGACTGGCCAAGCCAGGGCCTTGTGGAGTTCCAGGAAGTGGTCCTGGCCTATCGAGAAGGCTTGCCTAATGCACTTGATGGTGTGAGCTTCTCCATTTGCCCTGGAGAGAAGGTGGGGATCGTGGGCCGCACAGGATCTGGAAAATCCACCCTCTTCTTGGCCCTTTTCCGCATGCTGGAGCTGAAATCAGGCCGGATTCTCCTGGATGGTGTTGACAGCCAGATGGTGGGCTTGGAGGAGCTGAGGTATGGAGGGCTGAACAGAGTGGAGGGTAGCTGGTGGGGCCTGTAGGCTGAGCTCTCAATGGTTGCATTCCAAAGGGAAGAATGAGGAGGAAAGGACTTGCTGCCGTGTCACCATCTTGTCTGATTGTGTCAGCTTCTTATGAGCTTCTCTGCTGTTTCTGAACATCTGTGCTAGGGAAATAAGGCTGAATATGTGACCCATGTCTCCATTCCTCTAAGACATGCAGGAAGTCAAGATACCCCACCCCAGGAATTAAAAATAACAGGCCTTTGCTTTTCAGCAGAACCCACCCCATGAGCCCTCAGCTCTCATTTGCTTGCAGATCTAGGCTGGCCATCATCCCCCAGGATCCGTTTTTGTTTAGTGGCTCAGTCAGAGAGAACCTGGACCCTGAGGGAAAACGGACAGATGCTGAGCTCCACAAGGTGCTAGAGCAATGCCACCTGCAGGATGCTGTTACTCAGATGGGTGAGTCTGAACCCAGTGAGAAGCAGCTGGTAAGCCCTGGTACTGGGCGAGAGGAGAAGACCTCAGCTCAGTCAGGGCGCTGAGGAATAGGACCCAGTTGGGAACAGGTCAGTGGGGCCCGGTGGCATTCCCTGAGATTTAGTGGCAAGGGACTGGCAGGTGATTGTGTGGCAGGATCTTGCTGATGAGACCAGGTCCCAGTGGATGTTAGAGCAGAGCCTGAGAGATAAGCCAGCCCCTAGTTCTAGGGCAGTGTGGCATCTCTGTGCCAGATGGTGCTTGTGTCCAAGCATAAAGGCTCCAGTTCCCAAGGCCTGGGCCTGAGCAGGATTGAGATTTTGAGTACCACTGGGAAACCCCCAGACCCAGGGAGCCACTTGGAGCCCTGTGCAGAGCCTGGTGGGGTGACTGCTGAGCTTGATTCCTGCAGGTGGATTGGACAGCAAGCTTGGAGAGAGTGGAAAGAGCCTGTCCCTGGGACAGAGGCAGCTGGTGTGTCTGGCAAGAGCCCTCCTGACACAGGCCAAGGTGAGTGCCTTGCCTCCACCAGAGTGAGGGGAGACCCCAGAGCTGGTATGATGGGAACAGATGGCCTGTGCTACCTTCTTGGGCTGTCTGTAGGCAGGGATTGAGGTCTCCTCCATGGTGCTTTGGTGCTCTGTGTCCCTGGCAGGTGCTGTGTATCGATGAGGCCACAGCCAGTGTGGATCAGAAGACAGACCAGCTGCTGCAGCAGACCATCCGCCAGCGCTTCGCTGACAAAACTGTTTTGACAATTGCTCACAGGTATGGAGGAAGCAGCACCACTGTGCCTAAATTCATCCTGAAGCTCACACAGAGTGGTGGCTGCACTGGCACACCTGGGCCTTGAGCTGACCAGGGAAGTCTCTGTGATGAGGCTTTTCAAGTGCAAAAGGCAGGACCATGCCAGCTTGCCTTCTTTGCTTTATTAGCCCATGGGTGCTGGAAACAACTGGATGTGAAAGTGTTGTACCCAGAAACCAGGGGGCAGCAAGGGGCAAAACGCCACATCGTGTGGCAGATGGCTCTGCCTGGACACCACCTCCCGGGACCGGGGGAGTGAGTAGGACCTTGTGGTTCTGCCAAATTAGGGCAAAGAGCAATGGAGAGCTATCCTACAGAAAGGAGCAGCGTGGAGACCAGGGAGGAGCAGGTGTCTTGGCTCAGTAGAGGGCACTGCAGGACAGCCAGCACCAAGGGCTGCGGCCAGCTCCTGGCCAGCGGACACAACGCTGGGGAGTCCCAAAACCCGGGACCGGCAAGCTAGACACTGCCCAGGCAGGACGGGGCAGCTGTGCTTGCCCCACGGCTGGGAGATCTAGCGTAGGAGTAGGGGCAGCGGAGGGCTGCGGGTGGAGGGAGGAGGACAAAACATGAATACCGTGGATGCTGAGAAGGGACCAGCGAGCGTTAGGCCGTGTTCCTGCTCTTGCCAGGTGGAGGAGAATTTGGAAGAGAGTTACACAGTTGTTTGGAGGGTGTTTTCAAAACACCAAGGTTACCACAAAAATAAAAATCAAATGAGCAGGTGGCCGGGGCTGCACAGAAGTGGGAGTGATGGATGACAGGCAGAGTGGGCTGGGCCTGGCAAGTGAATTGAGTGGGTCTTGTTAAATATGTCAGATAGGAGGGAGGCAGGAGGGGTGTGAAAGGAATGTGGTTCCTATGCTAGGGATATTATGCGTAAATAGAGCAGAAAGGTAAGGGCACTGTGGGCTGAGGTGTGTGTGTGGTTTGCGTGGGATAAGGCCACCTCTGATGGAGGAGTAATTAGAAAGGAGAACCAGCAGAGAAAGGAGTGGCAGAAGGCAGGGCAGCAAGACAGGGCTGAAGATGACTCCAGTGCCTCTTCCACTAGGATGGAGGGAGATAGGGATGAGCAGGAAGGAGAGGTGGTGTTTGGGTTCTTTTATACCCACGGTTCTTCCATGCCATTCAGTTCTGTGTGAACCATTAACTGGATGGGTGAAATCTAGGATGGGAAGTGACTCAGTACTTGTCCCTTACCCCTCCAGATCTCTTCCAGTGCTGCAGCCTGGCACTCGTTTGGGAATGAATGAGCAACCAGAGTCCTGAACTCCATAATGCTTTTTAACTGCTTGAATCCTGTGCAGTGTCTTCCCTGTGACTTGAAGCTTTGCAGGGCTGTAGTTTCGCACTGAACTGCCTTCCCTGCCTAGGGCCAGAGGTTGCTGCCCTGCTAGCAGCCTGGGCAGAACTGGGCACGTAGGTGTGCTGCAGCTGCTGTGGTGGTCCGTCTGGCAACGACAAATCCACTGGTGGTGGCAGCATAAGTAAATAATCCAGATTGCTGGGGAATGGCAGCTGATGCACGAGTCCATTTCTGCTGCCCTCAGGAGGTGGCAGGTGAGGAAATGTAGGGACAAACAGAAGGGACTCAGTAATCTCTCCTATGGGAGCAGGCATCATTCTGCAACTCCAGAATCAGTGTGTGCCCTGAGCTCTCCCTTCCTCCACAATTTCCCTCTCTTCTCCTTGTGCCCTGCCAGGAGACTGGAAGATGTCCCTGTGCTCTCCTAAGAGGTGCTGTGTTTCAGTGTGTGCAGAGGCTCTCTGGGGAGCTGCACTGCAGCGTGTCCCTGAGCGCACAGGGAGACGCTCCACAGATCCTGATGTTGGGCATGTCTTGGGCCACCCCTGGACAGCAAGAGAAGCAGTATCTAGAGTTTCTCCTCAGATGCACCAACGTATGTCCTGGCATTTGCTGTTTCCACAGGCTGAACACCATCTTGGACTCAGACCGTGTGCTGGTGATGCAGGCTGGGAGAGTGGCAGAGCTGGATTCACCCGCTCGCCTGAGCGAGAAGGACGGGTCCTTGTTCCAGCACCTCCTGCACAGCGGGCAGCAGTGACCTCCCTCCTCAGAAGAGCCCAGGCAGCCCTCTGGGCTCTGTGCCTGGACCTCCTCTCACCTCAGCCACCAGCCCTGTCCCTGCAGGTCCAGGAACTGCTGAGGTGAGGGAAGGGGTTACTTCTGCCTGCAGACAGCAACTGTGTGTCCTCAAGAGACTCCTGGAGCATGCCACTGCAACCTTTCCTTTAGCAGGAAGATGAGACCTGGTGTTCAGGGCTGTGCAAGCCTGGCTGAGAGGATACTGCTCCCCTCTGAGATTTCAAAGGGGTTTTCTGCTCACTGAAGAATCAGTGACTCCTAGTCTGAGACTTAGTCTCATATGTGCAATTTAAAATAAAGTAGAAACATCCTTGTGAAGCTGTTATTCAAGTCCCTGTCTCCTTTTCACCTCAGACACAGACTTCCTTGTGAGATAGAGGTATAGTGCCCTTTCCACAGAAAGACAACCTACTTGTTCCCTACTAGTTTCAGAGGGCATTGACCTTTCCAAGCCCAGAAGGCTGCACCCATGGACCTTGCTGCTCTTCAGTTTACAGTAGAGAAGGCCTTCCACTGAAGGGCCTGAATGTGAATTATATTAAAGGCTTCTGCAGCTTGTTTATTTCAAGACCACTTTTCCAAGGGAAACTCCGTATCCCCCCTGCTCTGCTTCCAGCTGCACAGGCTCACAGCTGCTTTCAGTTTCAGGGTCAGATTGCTCTTCCCATCGACACCCTTCGACTCAGTCTTGGGTTTTCCTCTTTCTCACTCTAAGGCAACACCTAGCAGGTACACACCTTTGCTACGCTGTCGTGAGGTGGGTCCTGTTCCTTCCCCTGAGGTTGTGGGAGTCATCTCCACCCCTGCAGCCAGAGCAGGGGGCAGGACAACTCCTGTGCCACAATCTGGGTTTGCATTCTTGAGGGATGTGATGGAAGGCACTCAGAAGTAGCTGAGCAACCTGATGTAATTGCATCTGCTGAGAGCAGGAGGTTGTTTTCCAGAGGTCCCTTGCAACGTAAATTATTTTATGATTCTCTGATACACTGTTTCTGGGCTTGTATTTGTTTATTTGACAAAGGTACATCATCCATCCATATATTAAAAAAATAATCTTTCTGATGAAGCCCCAGTCTCCTCTCCCAGATCTCCCTCTTGGCTGAGTGCTAATTCCTCTGCCTGCCCTCTTCACATCGTGGGAACCCAGCTCTGCAACCCTACGGGCCAGTAGTAGGGTTTGGGTTGTTGGGGTTTTTACCCCACTGCCTAGTCCTCCGTGCCCATGAGGAGGCACAGAAGCCCCTAGCCCTGTCAGAGGGAGGCTGATTGCTGCACACCAGCTCAGCACAGGCAGGAGCAGACCTAACAGAAAGGTGAAGTGACCCAGTCACCTACTGGCTCTTAGCCATGATTTAGCAATGGTGGAGAAAGCAGTATCCTATCTGCTTCCTAGGGTCATCCCAGGCTCAGTAGCTTGTCCTCACATCCACGGCCAGGAGCTCAGCCTTTGCTGTATCAGGAAACACTACAATGGCTGATCTGATGTTAGTGTCAGCTTCCTGCCTTGGAGTGACTGGGAGAGGAAAGGAGGATCTGGATCTTGTATTGCTCCTGAACCAGCCACAGCACATCTCCAGCCTTGTCCATCTCCAGTTCCACCTGTGACGGCATATGAGAAGAACCAGCTCAGGCCCAGAGGGCCCCAGAGGGGACCAGGCTGTGCTCCTCCTTGTCAGCAAATGGTGAGGTGGAAGTGCATGGTGGAGAGGGGAAGGAGCTTGGTGGTTTGTGGCCAGACTGGAAAGGACGGCTTGATAAGTGGGGAGAGAAGACCCTTGGATCATCAGGAGGAAAGTACACAATGTGTTTGTAAGCCCAAGTTTGAGAGCAGGAGGAAGGAGCATCACCCAGGGCAGAAGAAGGGCACGAGGAGACTCCAAATGATCTCCAGGGTCTCTTTAAACTAGCTCACAGAACCACAAGGCCACGCAGCAAGTGTGTTTGCTCTCTCCTCAGGGACATGGCATCTGAAATGACAGCCTCCAGAAACAGCCAGGAGCTGCCCCATCCAGTATCAAGAGGCTCCCACAGCCATGACCGTCCCGAAGGCCCCAGAAGAAGCATCCCAACACCAGTGGAAACGGAGACAAAGCCCCTTCCAGCAGTCACAGAGAGGAGTTACGAAAGGCCTGGCAGAATATGGGCTTGCAAGAAGGCTGCGTCCTCCTCGGCACTACCCGTCCTGTTTCTGAGAGCTCAGGTCAGATGACAGCAGCACTGCAGGGCATGGGCTGCGCAAGCGGCTGGGCTGGCCCCACAACCTCCCGCAAGCGGCTGGGCTGGCCCAACACCACCCCGCCTCCAGGCGCCTGGGGTTGCTGCTGGCTGGGCAGGAGACAGCTCAGACACAGGCGAGGCCATCACACCAGTGCTCGATGCCCAGGGGTTTCGTTGCTGCGTTTGCTGCCCGGGGAACCCTTCCCTGCCGCCCAGCTCGTGCCGGCGCAGCTCCCCAGGGTGCAGTTCGAGGGGCTTGCCAGCACGACGACCTGCCGGGGCCCCACTCAGAGTCCTCGCAGCTCACAGCTCCGTTGTCTTCCTGGGCTCAATCAGGACCGTGTTGAGCATGCCCACTTGACACTCCTGGTCTTGGAGCTTCCTTGCAGCTTGAGAAGGACTTTGGCACCAGTTCGACCTCTGCCGGCCCCTCTGCCAGTTCCTCAGCATTAGCAGGACGGTGATGAGGACCAGCACTGCCGTCAGCACCCCAAACACCAGCACTGTCACCAGCTGGGCTTCGGTCAGCCCCGAGTCCCTTTGGGTCACCACCTCCTTCACAGAGATTTTCAACAACCCTCCCCCCGGCTCCTTCTCGCTGTGGTTGGCCACGCGCCGCCCCGTGACCGCGGTCCTGACAGGCTCCGGCTGCGTCACCCCCAGCATCTCGCTGGGGGTGCTTTTCACACCCACATCATTCTCATGGTTTGCAGGGTGGTAGGGGGGAGCCCAGGTGGGCTCAGGGATGTAGATTTCACAGGTTTTGCCAGTGAAACGGTCAGGACACAAGCAGTCATAGTCATTGATGCGGTCATAGCACTTTCCCCCGTTTCTGCACGGCTGGCTGGCACAGTCGTTGATGTTGATGGTGCAGAAGCGCCCTTCGAAGCCCAGCTGGCACTGGCAAGAGAAGCGGTTGATCCCGTCGTGGCAGGTGGCACCGTTGGCACAGGGACGCATCAGGCAGTCGTCCACGTCGTTCTCACAGAGAGGCCCCACAAAGCCGGCGAGGCACCGGCAGGTGAAGTTGCTGGCAAAGCCATTTTCATCTTGACACTGCCCCCCGTTCTTGCACGGAGACCTGCATGGAGAGATCAAGGGCAGGTCACGGCCCAGGAGAGCAAGCGGGTTCCCCTGCCCCAGGGAGGTAAGCACGCACAGCTGCTCGTGTGGCCCGTGGGTCCAGCACTGGTTCTCTCCATGGGGGCGGCTACCTCGAGAAGACCAGGCAACAGTTTCTGCCTCCCCAAATGAGAGGCTGTGGGACCTCCTCAAAGGCTGTGGTTGTGCACAGCCCACCACCCACTAGGGTGAGGGCCTTCAGCCAAATGATCTGAAGAGGAAACATGCCCTCCGGGTGCTCCCCAAAGGCATGATGGCTGTCAGCTCATCACAACTACAGCAGTGAGGGACAGGAATCTGTTCAGATTGCAAAAAAGACCTTGCCCCAGTGGGACCATGCAGTGCACACAGCTAAACCAAAGCCAAAGATGGTTTTGGCTTAACTCCATTAGTGCACGGAAATCTACAGACAATGATCCAAGCTGGGCCTCCACTCGGCAGCGTGTGGCCAAAAGCTAGTGCTGTCTGTAATCTTGCTGCCCTCACTGCCATGTCTCACCCTGCCTCCTCACATGGCCCTGTCTTCATCTCACAGTCCTTCCCGTGGAAGCCTTCTGGACACAGGCAGGAATATTCCCCGTCGCGGTCGTAGATGCACTGAGCCCCATTCTGGCACGGGGACTGGTGTTCACAAATGTGTATGTCTGAGGGGAAAGAAAAAGGTGGGAAGTGGTGAGAAAAGAGAGGTGATATGGCCCACTCAGTTTGAACACAGGCCACCAAACCTAGCAAGGACAGAGACATGGCAGGAGCTTTTTCTGCCACTCCTCCAATAGGCACATGCAGCAACACATGTGCGGTGCCTACGCAGTGCCTCCCAGCCACAGTCTGCAAAATGCACAGGCTTAGGGGTGCAGAGAAAGCAAACTGCCCTGCAGCTCTGCACAACGGGAAGAGGCTGTGCGTGCCATCTGGCCAGCCAGTGCACACCCCCTGGCACACAGGAGCCTCTGAGGCCAGAGGAGGGGAGTCCACCAGCCACCTGCTGAAGGCAGGAAGCCCCAGGGGAAGCAAGAGGTGCTGCCCAGAGCCCAGCTGTGGCATGGCAAAGACAACGAGTTCATCTGCTCCGTTTTCTGAGGCTGGCCAGTGTCATGGCAGCTCTTGCCGTGCAGCCAGGGGGCAGGTGCAGCCTGACCTCTGCTGCAGGTAGGGGGTGGTCCCAGGCAACATCCCATCTCCAGGGCAGCCCAAGCAGCACCACCTGGGTGGTTTCTGGCTATGCTGGCTCACCCATCCATGCAGGGTGCGCTGGGCTTCTGCCCCTGGCACCAGAGGCTGCGACGTCCAGCCAGCGACTCACCTTTGTCACAGAACTTGCCAGCCCAGCCAGTGTGACAGATGCACTGCCAAGGCTGGTGGCACGTCCCGTGGAGGCACCCCGGCATGCGCACACACTCCTCGCAGTACTCGCCCTCCCAGCCTGGATCACACCTGCAGGAGGACAGGGCATGGCAGTAGGCTAAAATCCAAGCAGATGCAATGGAAAAGCTGGCTGCTTGCTGTGAAGGCTTCCCACAGATACGGTGACACTGGGAAACCCTCCCAAAGCCCCCCATGAACTTGCTGGCTCCCTCCTTGTCCAGAGGTCGCTACTGGTATCCTCATCTTTCCAAGGAAGCAAGTGGACAGAGCAGGAGTGGACTTGCCCTGTGCAGCCATGGAGGGCGAGGGGGCAGAAGCAGAGCTCAGCAGCTTCACTTTTAGTGCCCACGTCCCACTGCTCCCCTCCAGCCAACCGCTCGTCACACGACTGCGTAACGACATGCTGAGCATTAGCTCAGCAACTCCTCTGCCTCCCTCATCTGCAGCCAGTCTGACCAGCAGAGAAAAGCCCCATTCCAAATTCCCTAAGGGCAAGAGGTCCCTGAGGCCTACAGTTCATGGTGCCCCTCTGCATTATAATGTGTGTCTTTTTTGTCTCAAGTACACGGTCATCCAGCTGCAAAACTTTGCTTGCCATGGCTAGCATAAGGATTAGACTTATCAGCCAGCCCCACAAGAGCAGCATGACAGGAAAACCCACAGCACACAACGAGCCCTCAGGCCCCAGAAAAGTGGGGCAGTGGTGATGGCTAAGGAAAGCCAACCTGTGTTGCTCCACTGGCTTCTCTCAGGACCTGCTAGCTCCAAGGGGGAAAGCAAGTGATAACAAAATGAAAGCTGAGTGGGGAGAGCACCAGGCTCATCAAAAGTAATACTCAAAACAGCACAAAATTAAACCTAACAAAACCAACATGGTCTCTAAGGTAAGTAAGCAAGGGGGTTTGTTTCCATAGCTGGGGCTCACTTCAGCACAATGGGCTGTGACTGCAGCTTTGCCACACTGGTCCAAGGCTGCCTGTTCACACTTGGACTGGCTATTGTCACTGTAGGTTGTTCCAAAGAGATTGATAAAGTGGCTAAAAAAAAATTAATAGATATGTTAATTAGGGACTTTTTTTATGGGAATAGAGGTGATACCATGTGCCTGATAGAGTTTGGGGAAATGCATTTACACCTGGACAGCCATAAGCTTACAGAGGGGCAGTGTGGACACCCTGTACCACTCAGTACCCACAGGGAGCAGATGCCATCAACTCTTCCCCTTAACATAAAAAGGAGATGGCCAACCTAAAAATTGCCAGGGAGGGGGACAGGTAAGTGGAAGTCTCCCTGAATTTGGGGTGATTTCAATGGGGTACTGCCAAGTTGCTGAAGGGCTCAGGAAATGCTCTGGAAACCTGAAATCTGAGGCAGCACCTCCTGTATGCCTCCACCAGAAAGACCTGCAGCTGGCCCACCTGCCCTATGGAGAAGTGCAGCGTCTCTGGCCAGGGTTTCGCAGCACCGAGCTCCCCCAGCCAGCCACAGTCAGCAAAAGGGCTCAGGGAGGAGCGAGCTCTTTGCAGCTGCAACCAGAGGCCCAGCAAACCCAGAGCTGGATGCTCCCTGATGAGGTCAGCGTGGTTCTGGTCACTGCCAGGCCACGTCTGCTCCATTAGGCGAGAAGGAGTGGCCCAGGCGTGGTGTGACACGGGGGGCTGTGCTGTGAACGGGGGCTGAGCATGCCCCAGGGAGGGGAGCAGTCTGTCCCATTGCAGCACACGTGTCAGGGCCAGCCCCAAGCAACCTGCTCTTCCTGGGGCTGTCCTGCAGGGTCGGGGCTCTGGGAGGAGAGGCATTGCCTGGGGCTGTGGCAACACAAGGCAGCCACATGGTTGTTTCCCAGGCTGAACTGCAGGGTCAGGCTCTGAGCTTTGCCCCTGTGGGATCTGGGGATCTCTGTTTTTTTTTTTTTCATAAAGAGCTTGCCAGCAAGCTGGGGGCTACTGCAACAGAAGTGCGTGCATGATCCCTGGCATCCCAGCTCCATCCCAGATCCCCACCACAGACCAGGCTTCTGAAAGGGCACTCCTGATGCCCTTAGACATTTTTGTACATGCTGGAAGCTCTTTTCTTTCACATCCTCAGGGAAAGCATCCCCATCTCAACCCAGTGAGGAGGCCAATGAAGCTGGCTGACCCCCATGCTGCCTTTATGACTTTCCCCATTTTATCTGAGCCCGAAGGCTGCCTCCCATCATCCAGGTATAGCTGGGCTGTTCTAGGCTCCTGTCTAGGCAAGAAGGGCTCAGCAGAATAACATTGGTCAGTTTGGGGGCAGGGGATGGATCCTTGAAGCACTGGAGCAAAGGTTGGAGGGGACCAGCAAGAGGCTGAGGGCTCAAAATCTCCCATTCCAGAGGCCGTCAAGTGAAAAGATAGCAGAGGCATTGATTCCAGGTGTGAGTGAGCAGAGGAGGGAGCACTCAGCTCAGGGCAAGGGTGTAGGCACCAGCAACATAGCATCAGGGGATGGAGAGCAGTTATGGTCAGGGGCAGCAGGAGTGGAGAGCCAAGGTCAAGCTGTACCTGCACTTCCCGTCCTGGTCACAGCAGCCATGGGCAAGATTACAGCGCTCGCTGCAGTCATCACCTACAAGGCAGGAGACAGTTGGAGCTGGGTTAAGCAGAGACCATAGATGATTCCAGATCTGCCTGTGGCCCTGCAGGCTCACAGCCTTTTTTCCCTTCCTATGTGCTCAGCTTGCCCTTCCCCAGAACTGTAGCGTGGGGGAACCTTCCTTTCAGTGGCTGGATGCCACACGAGAGATGGGGATTACACCGTCACCCAAGCTGCAATAACACTGCTTTTATTGAGAAATGGGACCCTGCTTCAAAACTACCTGGTCTCTGATCATCTTCCCCAGTCTGTCTCTGCTGCCTCATTTAGACTTTGGGCCCTTCTGGACAGGAGCTGGGGCTGCCCGTGCACTAAAACAACCTGTCCAATAGAGCCTGACCCACCCAGTACCTTGGTCCCACAGTTGTGCAGTATGTATGGTGGGAAAACTGTGAGGGACACAAAGGGACCTAGGATGGAACTGGAAGGAACGGTTCCTCTTTATCTCACAGGACATCCCCATCCCTAAGGACAGCTATTGGCACAGACCACTGTCTGGTCGGGGCTCCTGCCCCCTGCCAGGAGTCAGCTGCCAGCATTCCCCCTCCTGCATGTGGAGGCAGGACTGGGCGTTGCATGGGGCCAGGTATCCTGTTCTGTTTATTTATTTAAAGGCCATAGAAGCTGTAACTGAGCCATGGCCTCTCTGTGCCACTTCTCATCCTCCACTCAGTGTTGGCCTGCTTTCTCCAGCCAGCTGCCCCCTTGCACCTCCCCCTTCCCCTCTCCGCCATCACTTGCTTGCATCTTAGCCCCATGGGGGGCTGACTCACTCCTGCCCCACGGGCAGGAGAGCTAGAGCAAATGTAGGAGGCAAGGGGTTTCTCCAGGAGCCCAACATGATCCCAAGCCAGGCCCAGGAGATGAACACTCTTACCTGACTGAGCCACTCCATCCTGGACCGGGGCAGGTTAAAGCCCCTGTGCCAAGAGGCATGCTCAGGTTTTCCCCAAACCACATGATGTGCTGCCTCGGAAGAAATGGGGATAAATTGCATGGGGGAAAATTCCCCATGCATACGTTTTTGCTGCAGTGAGGTGACAAACCCCACTGCTCAGGATAAGAGCCTCCCAAAACAAGCCACAGTGGAGCTGGAGCAGCATCCTGGGACTGCTTAGCCCAAGCGTGGGTATCCTTGCCTTTCCTATTTGTAAACCATCTCTCTTGTCAGATGGCTTTGGGAATTCAGTGCTTATCCAGAGCAGAGTGATATCAATCTAATCTTAGGGAAGGGATTTTGTCTCGCAGGATCCAGAATTAGCTCTTCAGTTTTGGAATTTTATTTCCACCTCACCCTGCCTCTCCGAACAGTCTCATCAGTCAGGGAACCATTCACCCTAACTGAGAAAGACAGAGCAGCAGGACCTACCACTGGTGATCTGCTTGGCACTGCCACCCCCACGGGCACCAAAGTGAAGGTCTCTACAGTCCCCACAAGTCACCCCCCATGTGCTGGATGACTCAGCAGCATTTTCTGGATGTCCCGGTCAGGCCAGCTCTAACTTGTATCAAAAACTGAGGAGACTTCAGCAATGCCAAGGACAGGTTTGGAAAGATGAATATAAAAGAGAAGGACGCGTGTCTACAAGGAATCACCTTGGGCAAGCTGGTGATGGGCCAAGAGGATCCAAACCAAGGACATGAGCTGGAGACAGAAGCTCCTGAGCATGGTCAGCGTGGCCCCACCGAGATGAACACCTAAAGAAAGAAAAAAAGCAAGCTCAGAAAAGTCCCCTGGCTCACACCACAGCTTCACTTCACGCATCCCTTCCTCTCCACTACTTGGGATTTTTGAGTTGAAACATCCAGTTTTGTACAGACTTGTCACCACACTCCTCTCTGTCCTTCCTGACTCCTTCCTCTAAGGCAACGATGGAGCACTAAGAATCAAAAAGCCTTTTAAAATATGTGTACAGGAGAACTGAGTGTGCACGCTCAGTCCTGCACACATAATAGCTCAGGCTGTTACACTGAATCTTGGAGCACCAGCCCCTGCTAGCTGCTGTCAAGAGAGCAGAAGCCTCCAAAAATACAAGCCCAGCTGTGGGGACCTTCATCTTCCCTCCCTAGGTCTGGCAGCTTTAGCTTCATGTTAAGCAAGGTCCCTCCTGTGCACGTTTGAATGAACAGATGAGTTGAGTCTTTTTACAGCACCCAGGCTGCCCTTTAAGCCTTTCAGGAGGGCAAGGGTCTGAGCAGATCTAACAGAAGAGCAGGCAGTAAGCACCAGCCCTATTTCATTTTCCAAGCAAGGGAGTGAAGCAATAGGCACTAGACCTGGGCTGTAGCCCCAAGCAGGAGAGGCAAACATGCACCTCTTGCTAGGTGTGATCCTTCCCCTCAGCTGTCCTGCAGAGAGAGCCTGTCAGTCCAGGGTTCTTGCACCCATCTATTTTCTGACCACCTCCTGCCCTCTTGAAGCAACATCAAATAATTTCCAAAAATTCTTCATTCCCTCCCAGCCTTCTGGGGTTGTTAAGGGCAGGAAATTCAAGGGTGATATCATAAATATATTACTATAATGAGATGGGAGGGGTTAAACAATTCTGCTAGGAGAGTAGTGAAGGTATGAAGTACACTCCATCCAGCTGCGTGGGTGTGATGGACAGGGGCCATTCCACTTTCAGCTTGACTCTTCAGCTTGGGAAGGTTGTGTTGGGTTGATAGTTACGTGAAAGACTTCTCAGATGAAGGCAAAAATCCTCCCATCCACACGTACATGTGCATTGCAGGAAGAGGTTTAGGGGTCACTGCTTAAGGGCTTCATGTGCCTGGACCAGCCAAAATAGCCCACAAAAGCAACGATGTTGTTGGAAGCAGCTCTCCAGCAAACCAACCATCACTGACAAAGGATGCAGCATTTTCAGAGGGGCTAGAGGATGTTACCATCACTGCCCCAGTCAAGCCCCAGTGTGGACTGCTGCATCCTCCCTCCCTGTGATCCCCTTGTCACCACCATGCTCACAGGACCCTCCTTAGCCTCCTGCCCCAAAATGCTGGGCAGTGGCCAACAGCTGCTGCATTTCAGGGAAGGGTGAAGCAATTCCTGTGAAACTTAGAAAATAATTGAGGGCTGAGCAATCAGTATCCTGTTCCTTCAGGGCTGTGAGGAGCTCAACCTCCCGCCACATGTCATTGCAAAGGTCGTTTCCCCCATGGCTCCCCACAGCCTCCGCGCTCGAGGTGCAACCCCTCAGCTCCCCCGAGTAGCCACCCCACGAGCGCTGCTCCCACCTCACACCCAGGGGCCACTCCGGACCCCGGCAAGGGCCGGGGGCATCCTGGGGGGCAGCGGATGCCCAAGGGAGATGCGAAAAGCACCGAGCAGGCCTGGCTTTGGGTCGCGGGCACCCGGGGAGGGAGCTCCCTTCGCCCCACTCCTCCGCGACTGCCTGGCCGGGCTGGGCTCCACCAGCCCCCCAGGGGCTGCGGGCTACTAGGGAGGCCCCCGGGGTTATTCACCTCCGCCTCGGGGGTG